GTAAGTTTTAAGATCTTTATACTTTGCTTGATGAGATTCGTACTAAGATTTGAAAATCCATTTATATGAGATTTGAAAACTGGGGTTGTTGTTTACAAAGATTGGTATAATGCATTGAAACTTAAAGAGTGATACTTAGTTTCATAGGTTCAATGAACCATTGCAATCTTGTAAATATTTCCTAAAAAAACTTGTATAATAATATTCATTACATATATGATTTTTGGGTTTTTTTATAAGAAGAGAGAGTCCATTAAGTAAGACACTAGATGTGTCAAAACTCAAAGATACAATTGGAAAAATAAACCAGGAGAATGTCTAGAAAAATAAAGTTACAAGAAAAGTAAAGGGCATTTTAACCAATCATAAAAAGAACACCTACTTTTACTGTTGTTACACAAATCCAACCAATGCCAAGAGAAAATAGTGATTTTATCGAATATAGTAGCAGGATCATCGATCGTATTGTCACAAATAATTTGATTGCGCATCCACCAAATGTAAAAACAAGTTGCAAACCAAATCGAGCAAGCATAAGATTTCGAAGAAAAAGAGGATAGACGAAGGAACCAAGCTAGGAGGTGCTCAACCGAAACTGCTTGAACAAAACCATCAATTTCCAACCAAATTCCAATCTTCTCCAATATAAGTTTAATCTGCGACACACATGAATAAGTTATGAGAATCTTCAAAGGCATTAAAATAAAAAAACACACACTAAATCATGGCGGTTTGAAATGATATTTATACTTGCGAGATTTTATCGAGTTGCTAGTCTATCCAACAATAGTCTCCATCTCTGAGATATTGGATCGAACTCTAGTTTAGCATGTCGTCGTAGTTAGCTCATATGTTGTTGTCAAAGACCTACATACTGTAGTCGAAATGTGTTCTAGTATGTAGTTGTCGAGTTGGGCCTTGTGTTAAGGATCCAATTGTTTAAGTTAGCTTGTACCCTAAGTTAGCTTGTAATGGGTAATTGTTAAAAGCACATTAGTTTAGTATGTTAGGTTTATTATAAATATTATACTAGTCTCTCATCTTGAGTGTGGAAAATACTAATTAGGGTGAGAGGATTATTTTTTATTCTTGAGTACTTGTAATTTGTTTAAAGAGAAAGTAAAGAATAACAGTTATAACCAATCCTTGTTGTTCTTCTTCTTGTTTTTCCGTTAACCCTAATTTGTTTAAAGAGAAAGTATGATATTGAAAATTCACCGAAGTGAACGATTTCGGTCTATGGCGCTTGAAGATGAAAGCCTTACTAGTTTAGTTGGGTTATTTGGAAGTGTTGAAGGGAGAGGCAACCATGGAGGTTGCATTAACGGAAAAAGAAAAGACGACCATGATAGAGAAATCCCACATCGTAATATTGTTGATCCTTGGTGATAAGGTTCTCTGACAGGTATCAAAGGAGACTACTACATCGGGTATGGTTGAAACTTGAAAGTTTGTACATGACCAAATCTATGGTTAATCAAATCTACATGAAGAAAGCTTTGTATTCATTTAAGATGAGTGAAGACAAGGTGTTGACTGAGCAGTTAGATATGTTAAATAAGATGATTCTTGATCTTGAAAATATTGATGTGAAGATCGATGATGAAGATCAAGCCATGTTGTTGTTGTGCGCTTTGCCCATGATACATGCTCACTTCAAAAAACTCTCCTGTATGGAAGGGAGTCCCTGATATTTGAAGAAGTTCAACCAGCCTTGTACTCTAAGGACTTGAACAAACAAAAGGAGCATAAACTTTCGATGGTTTGTGAAGGTTTGGCTGTTAGGGGAAAATTCTTGCGAAAGGACAGTAAGTTCGACAAGATGAATGGTAAAAGTCAGCAGAAGTCTTATAGTGGTGAGGCATCTGGTATTCGATGCTATGATTGTAAGAAGGAGGGTCACACAAGAAAGGTGTGCCCTGAGCGCCTGAAAGATCATGGAGGTAAGGATAATGGCAACACAACCATTATTCAAGATGACTTCGAATCATCTGATGTTCTTGTGGTTTCAAGCAACGACTCAAGAAAAGAGTGGATTATGGATTCAGGTTGCACTTGGCACATGACTCTAAACAAAGAATTGTTCGAGGAGCTATATGATCAAGATGGTGGATCACTGTTGCTGAGAAACAATAAAGCTTGCAAAATTGTAGGTATTGGATTTGTGAGATTCAAGCTCCATGATGAGTCAATAAGGCTATTGACTGAAATCAGGTATGTACCTAATTTGAAGAGAAATTTGATTTCTCTTGGTGAATTCAACAGGAAGGGATATGCTTTTCAAGGAGAGAAAAGTATCCTAAGAGTCATGAAGGGGTCAAAGGATGTCTTGAGAGGCGTGAAGAAACAAGGCTTGTATACCCTTGAGGTTGAAGTTGTAAGTGGTTTGACAAATGTTGCATTCATGAAACCATTATCGAAGACATAAGTTTGGCACATGAGATTGGACCATGTCAGTGAAAAGGGTCTGGTAAAATTGGGGAAACAAAATCTGCTTGGAGGAGACAAAGTCGAAAAGATGAAATTTTATGAACCCTGTGTACTTGGAAAAACTTGCAAAGTGAAATTCAACAAAGCCAAACAAAGAACTCATGGATCCCTTAATTACATCCACGATGATCTTTGGGGGCCTGCAAGGTGTCCATCACATTCAGGAGCAAGGTATTTTCTATCCATAATCGATGATTATTCCAGAAATTTATGGGTAGTCATCAAGAAGACTAAGGATGAAACTTTTGAGAATTTCAAAGGTTGGAAGACTCTGGTCAAAAATTAGACTGACAGAAAGGTCAAGAGGTTGAGAATCGACAATGGCCTTGAATTTTGCAGTGAGGCATTCGACAGTTTTTGTGATGCCTCAGGTATTTCAAGTCACAAAACTATTGTAGGTACTCCATAACAAAATGGTTTAGCGGCAAGGTTTAATCGAACTATTTTGGAAAGAGTTAGATGCATGTTGACTATTGCTGGGTTAAAGAAGGTGTTTTGAGATGAGGATGTTTCGACAACAACATATCTGATAAACATATGTCCTTAAACTGCGTTAAATATGAAAACACGTGAAGAAGTTTGGTCGGAACATCCACCTAGCCTTGACAGACTTAGAGTATTTAGTTGTGTGGCATATGCTCACATTAGGCAAGACAAGGTCGAACCTAGATATCTAAAATGCATGTTCATGGGATACCCTACAGGTGTCAAAGCTTATAGGCTATGGTTACTAGAGCCTGGTCACAAGAGGTGTATCACCAGTCGAGATGTAATTTTCAATGAAGCTGAGATGAACTTCAAGAAAACTGATGGTGCTGACCAATAGCTAGAACAGGGAGAGATTCATGTTGAGGGGGAACATGTTGATGCTGAATTTCATATCCCAGATGAAGTCGAAGAAAATAAGAAGATGTTGTCGAAGATGAGGAGACTGGTAATGACTACCTACTAGCAAGAGATGGGTTGAGGAGAGTTATCAACCCACCTCAGAGACTTGGGTATGCAGATCTTATAACTTATGCCTTAATCTCTGCAAGTGAGGTTCTAGACGAATAACCTATAGACTATAAGGAAGTTATGAGGAGTCAGAATAAGACTGGCTGAAGGCCATGGATGATGAGATGAAATCTCTTCATGATAAAAACATATGAGAAATGATCAAGAAACCTACTGGAGCCAGGTTAGTCAAGTGTAAGTGGATTTTCAAAGTTAAGGAAGGAATCGAAGGAGTGGCGTCGAAAATATTGTCATACCCTAAATTTGTCCTACCCTCTCAATTCTTTGTACCAAGTGCATATGTGGGTTTAGGATCTTTGGTCCATATGTGAATCAGTGGCAAGTTTAGTGGAGGATGGTTGAGTTGAAAGAATCATGGCTTATATCAGTTCTTGGTGAAAGAGTGACAGAATGTGGAATGTGCTACACCAAATTCCCAGTTTGTTTCGAATCTATGCTTTGGTTGGTTAAGTTGTTTAAATTTAGACCATGTATTTTCAAATATGCAATGCGAATTGGTTCGAGGTCATGTTTGGATTTCATTCAAGCCATACTGGGATCTAGTTCAATTCACAGGCTAAGATGGAGTCCAAAGAGCAGCCCGCGGTTAATTTCGACTTAATTTGTGTCAAAGTGCTTCAACTTGCTTCTAAGGATTGCTAAATTTGTTTTATGATTTATTATGTGGAGCCTTAAATACTTGTATTAGGTTCATTTTGCTAAAGATAAATCAAGTCATCACATTGCTTTTAAGCGTTAAGGATGTTAATGATGGGCCGTGAATGGGTCATGCTGAAACTGGTAAACCACAGTTGAAAATTGAGATAACAATGCAGGAAAACATACAGAAGAACACCGTGTGTTTTTTTTAGCATGACTCAAAGTATATCCCATGTGACAAGAGGGTAACACTCACAAGTAGGCGAATAATTTTTTTTTTTAAAAAGAAAAAAACATTTCAACTTGGTTTTTACTGTGCCCTTCACTAACATATAAGGTGATATCTCATACATCCCATGAATTTTCAAACTCTAAATCAGCAGGGGTAATTCTAGTTAAATTACAATTCACAAAAGAAGCTTCAAAGCCAACTTGCAGCAAAAACATTAGCATTCGCAAAGATTGGTGAATTTCGACATCGACTTGGAACTGGCCGCAATAAGAGAATCCAAGCAATAGGTGACGAACCGCTTTCTCTAAGCTACAATCAAAAAGTGAAGGACCTGCAAAACTAAAAATCACAGTTCAGTGAAGTTCATTACAGCTCGAAAACGGTATTTAAGGAGAATATGAGAGAGAATCTCAAGTTCGAAAGGGAGGTGCTTGCATACCTCTAACCCTAAACTTGCAACAAATTGATCCAGAGACAGGAACCTATGCTGATGGGAGTGTCGACAGAAAGCCAGGACCAAGTGGCTCAGGAAGATTGGGACTTGGGGCCACGGCTGATCCGAATGAAGTGAGTCAGTATGATGATGTATATACATCTTACCGGAAGCACAGAAGCAGGAAAAATGGAGGATATTGAAGATTTGCTCATCGGCATCGGTACCGAAACTCCACCGGGATTTCGTCCTCCATTAGCTTCCACTACCGTCGGCTTCGGAACGACGAAGAAACAGCGCTCCTCACTCTTACCTTCACCCTCACCTTCAATCCCTGGCACTCAGACTATTTTCATAAAGACATTTGGATGCTCTCATAATCAGAGTGACAGTGAATACATGGCTGGTCAACTTTCAGCTTTTGGTTACTTTTTGAGTGATAATCCTGATGAAGCAGATCTATGGCTTATTAACACTTGCACAGTAAAGTCCCCGAGTCAATATGCCATGGATACTATCATAACAAAAGGAAAATCATCAAACAAACCATTAGTTTTTGCTGGCTGTGTCCCTCAAGGGAGTCGAGATGCGAAAGAGCTGGAAGGTGTCGCTACTGCGAAAATCGGCGCCGACTGAACAGAAGAGTCGCCACCGTGCGTTATTTATCCCACAGGAGGGAAAGGAAACGCTCAGAGTAAACCTCGCACAACACGGGAAAGGTATGGTCGTCGCAACCAAAACCTGGGTTCGGGAGTCGGTTACGCAAGGGGAAGGTATTAGCACCCCTCACGTCCGTCGTACTCGACGGGATCCACGCTTGTTTTCGGGTATGGATTGTTATTCTATCTAACTATAGGTCAAGGGTGAAAAAGAAAATAAAATGAAAATAAAAATGACTCGGCAAAGTATCGCACTTTATGCCTACGTATTCCCGTCTGGAACGAGAAATCAGAGTCAACGTAGTTCGCCTACCTACGGGAAAGGAGGGGAAGGTTGCTCGCTAGGATATCGCATCCTATGCCTACGTACTTTCATACAGCATGAAAGATCAGAGCAAACGTAGTTCGGGCCACGTACGACACAAGCTTGTCTTGGTTGATTTTATTCCTTCTAAAAAGGTTTTCTTGATTAACAGTCCCGGCGGACAAAAATGACGTCTTGATGAGTTCACATTCTTTTACGGAAGAAGTGTCTTTTATTGTGTTTGAAATCTTTATGTGTTTTTCTGGTTGTTTTGAGAAAGAAAGAGACAGAACTCTAACCTACGGTTGCGAAGGGAAACAAACTAACCTAATGTTATCATGCATGGGTTAAGACCTAGTGTCTATCATGCTCCTCTATTGCACAGAGAGAAACAGAGATCCTAAGGGATAGGCAGAAACAGAAACAATACCAGATATATACAGTAAAGCAGTAAAATGCATGGATGCAACAGCACAAGCGAGGCAAGGGAGTCCCACTCAACCTCGAACCTAGAAAACAATAGGCAAAAGTGAACAGGCTTCACTTTCAACCCAACAGGGTAAACAGCAAACAATACAGTCAGGAAAACCAATCAATACATCAAGAAATGAAATACAGCAATAAAACACAGCATCAGCAGCTCTGAATCAACATCTGGCTTCAAGTAATCTCCCATCAGCTACAGGCTTCAACAAGCATCAATCTCCATCTTCATGGCCTTCAGGCAAGGGCTTTGATCATCAGTCTTCTATCTGCCATGGCTTTTCTTCAAGCTCAAACCTCCAGGATGAGGGATTAGTCACAAGAGTGAAGTGAATGAATGTTAGACAGTTAATTACCTACTAAGGGTGGTTCATCAACTGTTAACATTAAACAGAAAGTTTCCTCTCAAAAGTTCTATCTTTCAAATATATTCACTGATCCTTCCAAAGGAAGGAGGTGGATATTTGAAAGAGACTTTGAATCATAGAGAAAGGATGGATGCAGACAAGGCATTCCATGTTTGAGAAACAATCATTCTAATCTAGAGCTCTGCCTAGCTCCTAAACCCTAGTCTCCTCAGCAGCTGCTAGCAAGAATCTCCTCTCCAACTCTGGTAGTTGATCTTCAATCCTTGGATCTCCAATGGCTCTTCACCTCCTCAAGTCTTCAACTCTCCCAAGTCCCCAGACAATCCCAATACCCAAACAAGCAAGCAATAATCCCCAGAGGGCACACCACACCAGTCAATCAGATATACAGACAGTATTAATAGCAGTAGGGGAATCCTAACCTTTCTCTAAGGGATCTAATAACTACCCATAGCCCCTATAGTCCCATAACTAATCTAGTTAAATCCTAAGTCCTAAGGGAAAGAATCAAACTTCCTAAGTCATCACCTAAAAAACCCTAATTTGTTCATGTTGTTCAAGCCTACATTAAACACCTAAAATTAATTCCTAAAAATGGGAACTAAATTGAATCTACAAGTTCAATATCTAATCTAAACACCCTAAAAAGAATGAACAAAAAATATGAAAGCATGTAATAGAACCAAAATTAATAAAACCATGCATGAAATGAAACTATCTAAAATGACATTTATTTAGAAAATATGGAAAAAATATGAAATAAAAATAAAAATGCAATTTTATTTAATGAAAATTTTCTAGACATCCTAAAGAAAATGATGTAAAAAGAATGGACTAAAAATGATTTTTTATGAATTTATTATGAATTAATGAAAATGCATAAAAAATGGAAGAAAATAAAAGAATATAATGAAATAAAGGGAGGGGGGTTTGAATAGAAGACACGCCTAGTTGAAAATTAGGATGGGCCAAGCAGACAGGGGTGCGCGTAGCAATTGGTTAAGGCCCAGAAACACTCAGAATTAATGAAAAATAAAAAGAGGCGCAGGGGGTGAGAATAGAAGCAGATTCACGTTCAAACTGGTTTGGGCTCATGCACTGGGGGTGGGGATAGCACAGCAATACTCAGGCCCGCCCGTTTCAATTAATGAAACGGTGCGTTTGGCACCAACACACTTCCCTCCAAATCTGAATTAAATCTCAGCCCTAGGATTACTCTCTCAAGTCAAAAGTCCAACATGAAAGGGACGGACACGATTGTGTCTTCTCCAATGGATCAATGAATTAGGGTTTCCTCTCCCATGGCAGCCATGCACGAGCAAAATTCAAGCTCTCCGTTCTCTCTCTCCAGGCCATGAAACGCCACGCTATAAACATGAAAATTGCTCTACACCTCTCCCTCTACACGTCTATGGTCTTGGATTGATCTGAAATTCAACACAACTCTCAACCCGATCGATGCAAGTTCTGGTTACCATGAATACACTCTGCAACTCATCATCACAATTCTCCATCAAACCTAGACTAAACTCCTCCATGACTAATGGTGATTATCCTGCGCTAACAACCTAACATTATAATGCACTAACCTAAGAGTTCTTGATCCAAACAGTTTTTACAACCTGCTAATCATCATCACCAAACCACTCCAAATTCATCCTAATTGCTCTACTAACATCCTACATTATATCTAAACTAACAACTCTATGCTAAACTAACTGAATCAAGCAATTTGAATGAAAACGCACCTGGTGCAAAACTTGAAAACAGCTATGGAAACTCGTGGATCCACCAACACCAATGCTCAGATCTTGATCAGTGAGTGAAGCTCTTGCTTCTGTATGCAACACTTGAATGAAACTTGGCTTGAATTGTGCTATCAACTTGAAACTTCAATTTTGATGTTGATGATGGAAGTGCTCGAAAATGGATTGATTACACCTTGTTCTTGATTGAATTCTGATCTATGATGATGAAACAGTATAATGAAGTTGATTGTGATGATGATTGGTGAAGAATTTGAGGAATTGGAATGAAAATTCAATGAAAAAGAATGAGAGAATTTGGGAGATTCTTGGTGAAAATGAAGCCAACCCTTGATCAATCTTCATTTCATGAATATATAGGGCTCACATGAACATTCTAGATTCATCTTGCACATTCCCTTGCCTTCCAACTTTTGATCCATTTTTGAAATGTTTCTTAAAATGCAAGTAACCATGAATATCTTTCTTTTTTCATTCTAAACTCAAAAAAGTGTTTGAACCATTGTTCTTAGAATTGCTTTTCCATTCAAAATCATATATTGGAAGTCTCCATTTGGACTCATAAATCTCCCAAACCATTTTCCATCTTGACTTTATTCAAATTATAAGCCATTTTAGTTCAATTTTGGACCAATCATGCAACTTCATGTTATGAGCTTTTCCAACAATTTGTGACCTTCTTTCTAGACTTAAAATCCCATTTGGAGCAAGTTTTATGTTGTAAGTTTTTCCATTTGAGGCCTCCTTGTATGAGTTTTGGACATAGGTTAAAATGACCTGTAATTCACAAATGCCCAAAATACCCTTTGCTTGCCAAGACCATAAGTTGAGTTCCAAACATCATATGAAGGCATGCTATACCATTCTATAAAGCTAAGACAATGAGGAACAATTATTATGTTTACCAAGAATTCATTTGAAATCTCCTTGAGGGGTAAAAATTGCTTGGAAGTCAAGTCACTTTCACAGACAAAAATTCAGATACCTCAGATGACCTGTAACTTGCAAGGACCATAACTTGAGTTCTATAAATCTCCTTGATGTCTTCCACCACTCAAATTAAAGGTCTTGAGATCCTCTACAAGTTTCATGTTGGCCAAGAAGCCATTTGAAGCTAGCATTTTGACTTATCTTGCTTGGAAATTTGACCTAAACTAGGGGATTTTACAGAGAAACCCTAATTTAGTAACTCCTCTTCTCCTTGATTTCTCTTGAATTCTCCTTGGCATATCTCCATATCCTTCTTTATATGTCCAATGATGAACCCCACACCTCTCCAATAGACTTGAATGCCCTTTAAATCAGTCAATTGGCCTAGAGTTGACCTAGGGTTGACCCAGATGAAACCCTAGTTGACTGTCTTCAACTGTAGCTCTTGTACTCTCATCAATGACTTGTCTCCTTCTCCAAATGACTTTATAAGTCTCTCATAAGGTCTAGATACTCTCCATGCCTTCACTTCACAGCTCACAACCCTCTTGTTGACCCTCAGATACCCTCAGCTAGGAGATGGACTCAAGGCTTGATCTGCTGAACTCTTTGCTTTCAAATTCTTCCCTGATGACTTGAATGAGATTGAATTGGGATAATAACCTCTTGATAGGCCTCTAGAGATGAAAATAATGATTGGTCCCCTGTTGAATGACTTGCTATGCTTATGCTATGCAGATGGTTAGTCTATGTACATGACTCTATATGCAAATGCTAATGACAATGAAACATAAACCAAGTGAATAAGGTTGGGCAAATTTTAGGGGTGCAACAGCTGCCCCTATTCAAGCGACTTGGACCCGATTGGGTGAAGAGCCCGGCGCCTTCAGCCATTCGTGGTGCAAGACGGTTGAATACTAGTGAAACCAGAAATTTGCCAACCACAAAACTAAGTTGCGCTCCTGCTTGAGGAACGACATTCATCAGCTGAATCTGACTGCTACAGCAACCTACTGATCTCGTGCGAGCGTGCTGGGGATTGTCTTCATCGTTCTGAAGAGGATTCTGTCATAACAGATTGCTTGCTGGTCCACGTTAGGACGCTGTCTGTCGTCAATACGAAGAA